TGACTTCATGGAGACAGAAGCTCCTGTGCTCAGGATCCTTTCGGACTTGCCCTATGTAACTTTTTATTTGCCATTTATGTTTACTCTTTATAATAAAATGATAATCATTAAGTATAGCATTTTCATGAGTTCTGTGAACATTCTAGCAAATTATCAAAACTAAAAGGAGTTGTGGGATGCCCCAAACTTATAGCAGGCTGAACAGTTGTCTTGGGGATATCTGGGACTTGTGGCTGATGTCTGAGATGGGAGTCGTCTCATGGGATTGACCCCTTAGCCTGTGGGGTCGGAGTCATCTCTGGGTAGTGTCGTGATTGAATTGAATTGTAGGACATCCAGTTGGTGTCAGAGAATTGGTGTCAGAATGCAAAGAGTCACGTCTGTAAATCACATCACTTTGTAGTCAATGATAGAGCAAAATAATAAAAATTGAAGACTGCATCTGGGAGAAATAAGTGAGACTCAGATTTATTTTTTAATATATTCATTGTGTAAGCAAGTAGCAAATTTTATATATTCTCAATTTAAATTCAAACTAGTAAATATTTACTGAACACCTGTTATGACCCAGATACCTTGTTTAATGCTAGTGGTTACCAACAGAATAAATACATGCAATTTATAATTTGATGGGAGGTATAGATATATAGGAACCAACAAAAACACATGACCTTACTTTTTTCTGTCCAAACAAGTTGGACTACTTTTTATTCATAATCAAAGTATTAGAATAGCTGAATGGAAGTTTGTTGCTATCTGCCTACACTGGATTTGATTTATTAGGACACTTTTTATTCCATTTTTAAGAAAATATTTATCATTTTACCATGGCTGTCCAGAAAGAATTTGAAGAGAATATTGATATTAGTTTCTATTTCTTTTAAATGTGGAAAAGCATTACCTGATATACTCTAGAGGAGTGATAAAATGTTATTTATGTGGATAATTATTTTAATATTTAAATTTATCTATTAAGAATGTGCAGTATTATGATTTCATACAATATGTCCAGAGTTGCCATAGGCTGAAGGTTTGTGTCCCTCCCCAAAATTCATATGTTGAAACCTAGGCCCTGATGTGATAATGTTAGGAAGTGGGGCCCTTGGGAGTTGAGTAGGTCATGAAGGTGGAGCCCTCATGACTGGGATTAGTGCTTTTATAAAAGAGACCCCAGAGAACTCCTCCACCATGTGAGGGCACAGGGAGAAGATGGCTGCCTATGAACCAGTGTAGGGCTCCATCTCACAACCCCAAGATCATGACCTGAGCTGAAATCGAGAGTCGGATACTTAACTGACTGAGCCACCCAGGTGTTCCCCCCAATCAGTTTTTTAAGAGCATGACGTATGCAACAATCCTTTGGAAATAGTCTGAAAACCAAAAAAATAGTCTAGACTCAGCTGTGAGTCATTCATTTGCACAGCTGTTAGTTTTTCAAAATCATGACATAGTTTTCATCAACAACCCTTCATGTCATAAAACTTCCACAAGAAATGTATGTACCCTTTGTTTATCTTCTAAGGACTCAGGTATATTTAGGTATTACCTTTAAACTCATAGGCCTCCTTACTTAAAACTAGTCTCTTGAATGATGCTTGTATTCTTAATGAAGGTAAAGCAAACTGTTTTTTCAAGTACCTCTCAAAACATCACGTCTACACTGATAACCTAGTCAAACACAGTGGATTTTCTCCTTTAATTATTATGTTTCAGCATTGTTTTCTAACTATTTTCTATTTCTATTCCAAAATTTCCCCCAGTTTGGACTGCCAACTGCTTCTGCAGACAGTTTGGTTGGTTCTAATTCTTTATCTCTTTTCAGTGAGGTACCAGCATTTCACCAGCTGTTTTGCTTTTCAGGCCTTCCTTCATCGTGGCGACTATGGTTGATTTAGTCTGTTTTAATAATTTTTAGAATTATAGTTGTGTTTTATGAGTCACAACTTCTGAAGATCATTAAATAGTACAGAACTTACCTTTATTTTTTAAAAGTAAATATACGTAGTTTGTTTTATATTTTTACAAAAGCACCAAAAAAGAGTAGTGGCTTGTTTTTCTCCAAACCGAAGCAAGTAAAAGTATAAATGTTTTAAATCTCTTATTCTATAGAAAAGAAAAAAATAAGATCCTGCACCTAGAATGCAAGGTTGCTTCCTATTTGGCAAAACCTTTCTTTTAAGGCTCAGCTGTGATGTCATTTCACCATTCCCCATCCTCCTTAGGTTTCCTTAATACTTGGACTTCTATGGGCTCACATCACATGGCTTTGTAGATATTTGATTTTAAGCCTTTCTTTTAAGTAAAACTGAATACCTGCCAAACTGGGATCTTTTGTTAATTACCTCTTTCTACCAACCTAGCTCAGTGCCTGATATATAACAGTTAATAGAAAAGTGTCTGTTGATTACACAGCTTCATTTTTCCCAAAACCATGGGAATATTCTGTAGCCAAAGCTTCCCTCTATTTTTTTTTTCTTAATTTAACACACATTGTAAATGTGCTATTTGTTTACTGTGTTATTTCTGACATAAGTCACTATTTAAACAAGATGTGAGCCAACAGATCCCTGGACTCATTTCCAACAAGTATCTTATCTTCCAAAGTGGAAATCAAGAGCCTGACCATGCAATTAGGTGACACAGATAAATAAAATGAATCATATGTACGAAAGAATGAATCTCATAGGAAGCAGATGCTTTCAGTTCTGGCCAGTTGTTGATATAACCTCTGATATCAGATTTTCCAAATTTAAAAGGAATCAGAAATTTAGACTTCTATGTTAAGTGTTGGCACTTGTTAGACCTCAGTAAATCTTTGCAGGCCAAATGTAATTCCTCTGTACTTATGATCTGAACTCTTTACTGCCAATGTATAAAACTTCTAGCTTGCATGTTGCCTTTGTGATACAGAGAGGTAGATAAATGATTTTGTCACAATATCACATTGGAATGGATGGTAAGACTAAGTATTAGTCATCTCTAGTTCTTTTTTTTTCCCCCATATATAAAAATAGCACTTATAAAGTGCAGTTTAAGGAATTAATCCAACTTCTTCATCATCTAGAAGTAAAGAAAAAAACTGTAGAATGTATTCTCATCGGGATGAAATGAGTTACTTGAGCTCTTACTTTTTAGGGTAACTTTAAAACTAGTAGGTCTTGAAAATAGCGTTGTAAAATCTTTGGTGTTTTTTCTCTCTTGTAAGGAAAATTAATAATAAAAAAGAGATTTAATCACAAATGCAGAATTATTCACATAAGCAGAACAGCATTTCTGGGTATGAAAGGGTTTTCCGAGGGTGTGAAGCTTACTAAACATTTAGAAAGTGAGGAGGACTTGCAGAACTGATATTAAGAACAGTGAATTCTCTAAGATGAAAATGTTATCCATGCTGATGTGGAACCTGAATCTGGGGAAAGAATTTCAGTATTATTACCAGACAGCCAGTCTGACTCAACAAAGTCCATGCTGGGGAAGAATGGAGAAGTCATCTACAAACAACCTACGTGCACTTTCAAACTAAGTATTCTTGACACCTAGGCTCCCAAATTAGAGAATATACTATGATAGAATGGAAACAGACAAAAATTGTGACACCACATGCTTATTTTACCCTTTAGCCTCTCCCTACGTCTCAAGTGAGGATATTTTTATAGTCTAGACAGTCTTCTCAACTACATCAATGTGTTGGATGTGGTGGAGTAACTCCTCTTGCTACTTGGAAGGGCTGAGTCTGTGTCCCAACTAGTTTGTCCAGGGGATGCCTGGGGGTCAGGTCACCCTTGTGCCTTCACAGGAAGCAACAGCAGTAGCCCTCTTTCATTCCTTGAGTAATACATTTTGGCACACAGTTTTAAACTCTATATGGGAGGCTTTCCTTCCCTGGAGGAGCCTTGAAATTTGCTACATGAGAAACAAGTTTCCTTCCATTCCCTCAAAGAGCAAAGACTGATTTTTTTTTTAATTTGCTTTGCTGTATCTATCTTTCCAAGTAAACTTGGCAACAAATAAAACCAGCATTTTGAGATTACTGTTTGCTAAGTGCAGGATTAATTTGGATTCTTAAGAAACTCCTTACAATCTTTGACAAACATTAGCTCTCATGTCTTCATTTATTAAGGGAAGATAATAGCAACAGAATTTTTCAGAAGAACTCCCATACACTGCGATATGCACATATGCTATTTCTTTCCTTTGTCTCTTTTTCTAGGCATTTACAGAGTATAGTTGCAGTTGCAATTTGGTGTTGCTGGTACAATTTAAAAGGCATTTAGTGAGATGAAAACTCACATGACAGAAAGTTGGAAACCCCTGGATGTGGTGGCTCCTACTTGCCTAGTTTTGTGCCTTCGCATATGAGAATATTCAAAAGCAAAACTCCCAGGTGTTAGGATATATTACGTGGCTTTAGGCTTTGGTTTTTGTTTTGTTTTGTTTTTGTTTACATCTTATTAAATGCTTTTACTGTGTTTGTTCTTTTTGTTGTATTACCTCAAGTCCTTTGCAGAAATATTTATGAAGAGTAAATACTCCTAACGATGGAGAACAAACTGATGGTTACCAGAGGGGAGGTGGGGAGGTGGTTAAGTAGATGATGGGGATTAAAGAGGGCACCTGCTGTGAAGAGCACTGGATCTTGTATGCAGGTGTTGAATCACTAAACTCTATTCGTGAAGTTAATATTGCACTGTATATTCACTAACTGGAATTTAAATAAAAACTTTTTTAAAAAGAGTAAATACATGTTTAGTGTAGGAAGGATTAACCTTCCTCAGTTATTGGGTATTTTCATTGATTAAGAAAACTTGGTTATAAATATTAAAAAGAAATATTAAAAATACAGCTATATTGCCGTATTATACCACAATGTATAAAGAAATGCCCATTCATAGCTAACAATTGTATAATGAAAATATCTCCTTCACATGCATCAGGAAAACTTAAGCAGGGAAGCATAAAATATAATCTCACAAATTTTTCTATTTCAAATTTCTGAACAGAAAGAACGAGAGAAAGGTTCTAATTTGGCCTTTATGTTTCGACTGCCTTTTGCTGCTGGGAGGGTGTTTAGCATCAGTATGTTGGACACTCTTCTCTATCAGGTATGCAGTGTTTCGTTTTTCTCTCTAAAATGTTTATTCTAATTTCATTTCAATTTTATTAAATGAATAATACATTGAGTATTTCTCATGGAGTGCTTAACTTATAACGGGCCCTGAAAGTACTTCAGAGTTTTATTTTGTGTATTCAATGACAAATGTGCCTGTGAAACATTGTGTAAGGAAAACAATATTTTTCAGAGTAATCAAATAATTTTTAACCATTCTTTAGTATCAGTGTCCTACAGTATTTTTGTGACATTTGAGTACATTTTGCTTACATTTTTGTTAAGAATATTACCAGAGTAAAAAGAGAAGGTAAGAGCAAAATATATTAAAAAAAGACAATCTTCTTCATAATGCACATTTTCAAAAAAAAGAGACACCAAAATGATGTCAATAAACTGACAAACCAAGGACATTTTAAATATCCACTAATGACCGCCTACTTTAGAAAAAATATAAAAAAGATTTTGCAACAACTAAGAACCATTTAGTTTGGATGGTCATTTGATCATAGCTAAGAACTGTATAGAGATATTATTTTGCACCAATATATTTTAATCTTTTTTTAGCTCTACCAGATACTGAACAGCACTAATATCTCATATTCTTGGATTCAAGTAATCAGACAATTTGTAAATATTTCTATTAAGAGAAAACAGATATTCATGGAGCTTTAAGTTATTTGATAACTTTAATCTCAAATAAAGCTTTCAAACATTTTGTTGTGGTATTTTCTTTTGGATTGTGTATTTTATGTAGCCTCTTCTGCAATGCTTGACTGAATAAACTCATCTGAACATGGTTAAAGCTTTTCTGCTGGCCTTGGGGCTAATTATGCCCATGAATATGCCTCTAGCAACGTCACAAACCATCTGCTTATGCCAGATGAGAGGAGGAACAAGCACAACAAAGGAGAATGAGCACTCCTGTTCACCCTAAACTTTCCAGACACATTCTCTGGTCACTCCAAGAGGGGGCTTTCACCCCCACACTCCATTACCACACACATCCTTCTGATCTCTTAGGGGATTGGAGGGGAGGAACTGTTTGAAGAACAATGCTGAAACTGAAGATTTTCTGTCAGTAGCAGTCAAATGCTTCATGTCATTATGCACCAGTGGTTTTCAGATTTTTTAGCCCTGAAATCTTATGTTTAAATCAAATCTCGTGAGAAAGTCTAATAGATGGACTAAATAAAAGGGAAATTGTTCTACAGAAGTAGAAAGCAGTAGTTATTCCTTTCTTTTCATTTTTATCTTATGTTTTTTGTTGTAAATACGCATACAGGAAGTTAGGTGTTCTTGAAGCTACTACAGAAAGGGTGAAGGAGAACAGTAACCTTCAAATTGCCTGTTTGGCTTTGCCTGACATCAGATGAGATATGTTATGGTTCATTTTTTTCAGATGAGATAGAATACTCATTTATTGATTAAAAATGAATATTAGAAATCAGATATATAAATCCTAAATTCATATAATAAGTATGCATATATTCTAAATTAAATGCCATCTAATTTTTTTGGTTAGTGATTTGAACCCATGTTCTCGAGGGTAAGTGTTTATATGATATATTTAAGAACTATTATTAATGTCTACAATTGTACAGTGACTTACTATTAATGCAATTCTATCCTAGACATCATATTATGTGCTTCCTCAAAGAAACTGATGATGTAGGCAGTATTATCAATCCCAATATATAGACAAGACACAAAGGCTCAGAAAGAAAAACTATCCAGTAGTTACTGTGAACTCTCATCTTTAGACCATGCACATCTCATTTTGATTACTCACTACCCTATCCCTGTGGCAAATAAATCCACGTTATGGTACTTTTTTTTTTTTTTAACTTACCAGAAGGTTGTTTTTCTTTATTAACATCTTGTCCATAGTCCCTTTTCTCCTTCCCACTTGAATCACAGATCACTTTCATATTTTTAATGATTTTCTCGATTTTCATCTTCATGGAGCTGGAAAGCCAATGATTAAAAAATAAGTATAATCTGAGGAGAGGTGGGGGGGATGAAAAAAAGTATTATCTAAAATACAATGAAATAGGGGCACCTGTATGGCTCATTTGATTAAGTGTCTGCCTTCATCTCAGGGTCCTGGGATCGAGCCCCATATGAGGTTCCCTGGTCAGCTGGGAGCCTGCTTCTCTCTCTTCCTTTGTCCCTTACCCCACTCATACTCTCTCTCTCAAATAAATAAAAAAATAAAATCTTGAAAATAAAATAAAATAATAAAATACAATTAAATAAATACTAAGTGAAACTGAGAAAGATCCTTCTGTCATCAAATTCCATGAGATTGAGTGCACAGATTTTGTAATAGCAGGTGGGGCTGTCCTGTCATTTTGGCTCTCTCGTACCCCTTGTTTTTGCCCTAATGAGGTTACAGGACAAATGACTTCTAGACAAGGGATGCATCAGTGACAAATGCAGTAAGCAAATCAGCAGCATAACCACATCCGGCTCAAAAATAATTTATCATAGCCGTTTACCAAATCTTCAGGGGACTGCCCCCCTCCCCCCGAGTACTTTCAATTTTTCATTTTGGGAAATAGTTTTCAGTGTCTGAGAATGTGCTTAAAAAGTCCTCTTCTTTAGCACACACTGGATTACAAGTGAAGTTGAAGGGTGCGTGTCACCACTGCTCTTGGTGGCCTCCAGTTGGTTCATGATATAACTACCAGGACACTACCCACCTCAAAACAAAACTTCCATTTCTTTGGCCTGAGAAAAGGGAATGGATATGGTTCCTTTGTTCTCGTTTAAATGGCAGGGTTTAGATTTCTGATGCTAGCTGTTGGTAGAATGGTAATGAACAAAGTTAGCCTAGTAAATTTATTTAAAAGGTATTATAACTTAAAAAAAAAAACTTTGCTATGCAAAATAACTAGATGAACATTCAAATTTTTCATTTTTTAACACTTGTGGATTAAATTCAAGATAGTCATTTCATACAATCTATAAAATAATTATTATATGTCATGGTGAAATGTGCTTGTATCTGTTGAAAGTTTTTCTTTTCACTCAGAACTAAGAATAAGTTTAAGAAATTGAAAACATTGTTAACTTAATACTCTGTTGAGCAATGTTCTAGCAATATATCAAATTAAACCTTACACGCTAACACATCAAGTAGTCTGATACTGGTATTTAATACTAAATTATTAATTCATTAATATTTAGATTTACTGAAATATTAGAAATTTATTCTAGTAGCAAAGGCCTTAATCCTAAAAAACCTTTTGGAATATCTCCTTGCAAATTTTAGAGTTCAAGTTTTTTTAATATTCTCTATTTTAGCTCATAGATTTTTGTTATTAAAATCTGTTTTATCATGTCTAATAGTACATAAAACTTAAGCATGTCAGGATAGTCTAACGAATACTTATTCTCCACATTTCTTCGTGGACAGCTTACCTGTACTTGTGTATTTAAGACACTGACAGGATAGATTTTTACTTCCTTTTTTAGGGGGGTTTAATGATGTGTTATGAGAAGTAAACTTTTAGAAATGGTAAGATGTTCTCACTGAGCTATTCTGTACATTTCATGCACATAATAAATATGTATGTTGTTTGTATTGCAGTCATTTGTAAAGGATTATATGATTTCTATCACCAGACTTCTGTTGGGATTGGACACTACTCCAGGATCAGGGTTTCTTTGTTCTGTAAGTTAATATTCGCCGGAATAGAATTGTTCTAATAGATGTTTCTGAAATCCATCTATAATGCACTTTGGGTAATATGTGCTCAGAGAATATCCTCAAGTTTTTTTAGTTCCTTAAAAATTTTTCAGGGAAAACATTTTAAATTATTCATGAAAACAGCCATTCTATACAAAATTCAGAACATGTGTTTTTTTCTAACTGGCATTTGAGACTGATGGTTTCTGACATAGGATGCCTTGCTGCTGAGGAAAACAGTGACGATTAAGTTTACTCCCACCTTTATTTTTTTTAAATGAATATACTTTATTCAAGTATTTATTCAGGGAAGCAACTTGCCAACAATACAGATTTGGGATCAGCGAAGAGGAACTAGTACTTATGCCTCTGTCTGGGAGCCCTGGGCTCACTTTGTTATACCCTTTTCTCCAGATGAGCATTATTAGGACTTTAGATGGACAATTTCTTTTTGTGCTGGAGTGTATTTTGCATTTGAAGATCTATAGCATCGGCAGACCCTGCCCGCTAATTCCAGTAGCAGCTGTAGTCATTGCAACATTCAAAAAAGTCTACAGCTCTTTCCCAACGTCTCTCAATTACCAGTGACTACTGTCTACTGATGTTGAACTAATACGATGCCGTGCTGCCACAAATTGAGTAGTTGGTCTTCTCAAGTTTGTGGAACCCCAGGGCTAACCTAAGGTGGAGTGCCATAAATAAGTTCAGTCCATGCATAAGCACTTATGAAATGTCATTTTGAGATTTTGAAATATTTGTACCTTTAGCCTCTAAAAAGTTAAAAATAAGCTGAGTTTTTATTTTTTTTTTTAATGATGTGTATCTAATAGATGAAAATCACTGAGGATGACCTGTGGATCAGAACTTATGCCAGACTTTACCAGAAGCTGTGCTCTTCTACTGGAGATGTTCCTATTGGGATCTACAGGACTGAGTCTCAGAAACTTACTACATCTGAGGTTTGGAAATACCAAAATATTCCAGTTTTAATGATGAATCTGATTGAAGATAGCCATTCCTAATCGTAGAAATGGATTTCTAAAAAAAGTCAAAGAATGAAAAAGAGGACTCTCTGAACACACAGTGTCAGTTCTCAGAGGCAAAAAAATTTAACTATTTGTTGAAGTAAGCAAGGTCAGAATTCCCCAAAATGTTGTTGGCTAAGGGACTGTTCTAGAGTTCGTGGACTTTGGGCTCTGAATGCCTTTTGTAGGTCTAGAATTTTGCATGTCTAGATTGTCAGGAAGCAAATTAATTTTAAGTAACCTTCTGACTCATAAGAGCAGTTTTCAGGGCAAGCCATACAGCTTTCTCATATACTCCTCATCTCACATATACACATTTGGAAGGAAGTGAAACAAAGTAAACACTGAAATTCACATTTCTCAAACTCTAGATTAAAGACTACTCTGAAGCCAAGATAAAACTCCAGGAGTAGTACCAGACCTTCCCAGAGGAAAGCTCAGTATTTGTAAAAGCAAACTAGAATCTATTAATATGAAACAAAATTTCCAATGACTTCCTACAGCTAAAAAACACATCCACACTGATCTGGCCACATTATGTGGTTCTAAATAGTTTTTATATCCTTGGTAAAACATCACCTTTTAAATGAGATTCTTTCATGAAATAAAAATTTTGGATAAATACACTATCCTACCAATATTTATAAAATTATTTAATATAATTATGGTTTATATTCTTAAAATATTTTTCTTCTCAAATATCTCAAGGTTATTCAAAATTTTGGTTAGCCATATCTGTTTTTGGTCTTATGCAAAATTAACTCAACTAAGAGACTCAGATCTGTTATTTGCAGTTTAGTAATCCATGCAGCCATGAAACTGGTTTGTGTTAAAATCATTGAATCCATATATAGAAAAAAAAAGAGCTTTATGGAGAGCATATGAGCAAAGGAATGGATTTTTGTTTGCTTCCAAAAATTTATGATTTGACATTTAAATAAGTAATATTGAGGACTACAGGAAATTGTTCAATTCTTCTGGGTGCTTTTTAGCAGTTTCACTGTAGATCAGGTGTACTAAAAGGAACTTTAATGCCATCTCTGTTACTTCATAGGATAGTCTGGCCAGATATGCCTAAAATTTAAAAATGCTGTATCTAAAAAACTATTTTTTGATTAAAGGTTAAGAGAAGACAAGTGCTTCCACACCTAAGCAATTAACCACTTAGTTGAGCTTGTTAAGTACAAAGAAAGTTTCCATTCACCAGAATATTATTATTCTCTTATTTTATGTATAGGTTTTGCAAATTCGAATGTAGTAAATTCTGTCCTTGGTCAAGTTCATATTGATGTCATCATTTTATATTATTAAGGGGCTTTGTTGTATACTATTTACATTATAGTAGGGAAAGGATAATTGAGTATTTGTATTGTCATCACGGAGCATTTAACATTACATTTTGGTCAGTTCTTCCCATCACAAAAAATATCCTTCAATAAAATGCTTATAAGTCCCTAGAACTCTAGCTTGTATGAAAAACACACATCCTTAGGAATATAAAAGGAAACTGAGTTAAATAAAGATGATACCTCCTATCTTCCTATATTGATTACAGTTCATTTTTTGACACATATATTTTTACTTAAATTTTATATTCTACCTATTGTGTAAAAATTGAGGCAACCCAAATAATTAAAGATAAAAATAAAACCATCAAGATTTTTTACAACACAATATGTTAATAGAGGCAGAGAAATTAATGTTATCTTACATCTAAAATGAACCGAGTGCTACAGTTGAGCCAGAATTCTACTTTTACTTTCTTGGTAAGTAAGGCAAAAATAGAACTGTTGAATTATATAGTAATTATAGTCTGATACATGAAAGGATAAAAGTTAATCTTGAGAAAGATTTGTTATTAAAAGAACACATATATTATAGGCTTTCTTATTTAAAAGGTTTTAGATAATGTGAAGAACAGTATCTATCTTCAATCATAGTTTTACAAGATACAAAAGTGCCATTAAAGTGAGTATCCTTTAAGTTGATCTTTTATTTTTTTAAAAATAGGACATCAATTAAATAAAAACTCAAAGACATTGGATTTTGTATGAAGAGGAAAACTTTTTTTCCTGATCATATAAAAACAAAGAATAAGACCTTAATGTCTCTCATGAGATGAAAGATTGGCTCATACATTCCATCATCTTTCTCAAATATTGGATGGTTCAAGAAAAGTCAAGCGGTAGAATTCAGATGATTTATCTTTGCCCCCAATGTTAATTTTCTCTTACTTTAATTAAAGAAAGACAACAAATTTCAGGAGGTAGAAACTCCATCTAATAATTAGAATCGAAGTGGCTAACGTATTCTTGCATAAATAGCTGTCAGATTCCATTCCCCCTGACAGATCATACAGCTGTGGTACTGTCCCTCACTCCACACAGGCAAAGTTTGAAAGTTCGTTTCTATGGAGAGAGTACGTAGATACTCTGTGGATTGAGGGGACAGTTGAGGGCAATCACACCACCCTAAATTCAGAGAACTAAGTGAAAGGTACATTCTGTATCCTGTACCCTTCAGCAGCAGATTAGAGATCTTCCCTAGGGAATCTGATGAAACTAAGTGAAATACCTAAAGATGTAGACATGGGACATTCAGTAATCCAGTGATCACCATGAAACCCAATAAAAAGAATCTCACCCAGAGCTTTCAATAAATTTTATTAGTCCCCTACTCTTCAGTAGGAGAAGACAACTAAAAATTCCCTATGTTGGGAAATGAACCACAAAGGCAGAAAGTAAACAGAAAGGAAAAACACGTAAAAAGCACAGATCATTGAGGAAGAAGACAATTTTGAACATGAAATAAAATATTTACCCAAAAGAAATAAAAATATATCCACCCAAAGATTTGCATACAAATGTTCTTAGTAGCATTGTTCATAAGAGCCAAAATTTGGAAAAAGCCTAAATGTCCATCAGCTAGTAAACAGATAAGCCAAATGTGGTATATCCATACAATGGAATACTGTTTATCCATAGAAAGAAACTACTTATATGTGCTGTTACTGGGATGAACCTCCAAAAATATTAAGTTTAAGGAAAGAAGGCAGACACAAAAGACCACATATGGTATTATTTCATGTTTATGAAATGTCATAAAAAGTAAATGTATGCAGAGAGGAAGCAGATTAGTGATTGCTTAAGTGAGGGGGAGGTGGAGGAAATGGGGAACCAACTAATGAACATGATGGGGTTTGCTGGGGTATTAGAAATATTCTAAAACTGATTTATGGTGATGATTATACAACTTGGTAAGTTTACTAAATATCTCTGGATTTTATATTTGAAAATTATATGTCATATATATTAGTAAAATTATATACTGAAAAACTATAATTAAAATTATTAGAAAAAATAAGATATTGCAAGGATGAAAGATGAACAGGAAACTGAATTTTTATCTTTTTAATTTTTTTTTTAGAGAGAGGGAGGAGGTGAGGGAGCAGAGGGAAACGAGAGAGAATCCCAAGCAGGCTCTGTGCCCAATGAAGAGCCCCATGTGGGGCTTGATCTCACCACCCTGAGATCATATCATAACCAATATCAAATTGGTTGCTCCACTGACTGAGACACCCAGGTGCCCCAGGAAACTAAATTGTTGAAAGAACATTTAGGAAAATGAAAACCTTGGGAATTGAAAATATGATAGCAGAGGTAAAAAGAAGTTCATATCATAAATTTGAGGAAATCACCAAGAAGCCAGAGCAGAAATTCAAACATGGAAACAGTAAAGAAAAGATAAGATTAGAGGACTAGTCCAGGAGGTCTAAGGTCTGAATGATAACACTTCCGTGGAGAAGGAATGCATCAAAATATCAGTGTAATAATTTAAGAATAATCACAGAATAGTAGTGTGTTAATTTCCAAAGGGGAAGGGTCACCAAGTGCCCACTATAATGAATTAAAACAGACTCACATCAAGACACAGCATCATAGTATTTCAGAATATTGAAGGAAAGGAGAAGATGCAGGAGGAAGAGGGCAGGGATAGATCACATGCAAAATATATTTGGGATTTTTCAATAGCAACACTGTAAGCCAAAAGACAATGGAACAGTGCCCTCAAGATCTTGAGGAAATATTTCCAAACTATAATTCTACATTCAGCCAAACGTATCAAACTTCCGTAAGAGTAAGATAAATCATATTTTAGCATTGCCTCCAAAAACACTCTACCATGCCTGCTTTCTGAGGAAACTACTCCCACCAAAAAGAATACACTGAAAAAGGAATCATGGTATGGAGGAAACCAGACACTTTATGGAATCCAGGCAACAAATATGAAGCTAAGGAAATCCCTACGATGGCAATGAAAAGACCCTCAGACATCAGGGTAACCTGGAATGGGTTAGAAGGTTTCAGAGAGATTTGTTCAGGAAGATGAAATCTATAGAGTATCTTGCATATCTCAATGTCTTAAGGAAAGATTAGACAGTTGCCAGAGATCTCAGGGTGAATTAAGTACAGGTATAATAAGTAATTATAAAAATAACAAAGTTATTAACTTCAGGAATATATTATCACCACCAACAACAAAAACATTTATGCAAGAAGTGAAGAGTAGCCATATTTCCTGTATAGATCATCTGTAAATTGTACTTAGTCATAATATGTCCTCAATTTTGATCTAACCAGAATTACACTTGAACAATTTTGAAATGATGAGAGATGGCAAAGGTACTGGAACAGGTGGAAAAGATTAATTTCTTTTCTTCCAGAGTGTGAAATGAATAGATGAAAGCAGAAACTGAAAATAATAAAATAAAATTAAACCTATTACAGAGAAACCAAGATAAAGACTTACATAACCAGCTGAAAGAGATAAAAGTAGATGTGTCCTAGGGAAATAAAAATGATTATGTTAGATGCCTCTATTTTTCAAAACAAATCATAACATTTTCTGACATCACAATGTATTTGCAGCTAATA